ATTGTTTGTTCCTGTGAAATCCCCCGGGGCTGCTCCCTGAGTCCCAGCCCCAGGCAGTCGACATGGTCAGGAGGAAGTCGGGGAGAGGCCCCTGGGAAGGGCTGCGGGCGGCACCTGCACACGCAGGTCCTGTGCCTGAGCCAGGGCTGGGTGGGGGAGGGTGCCCCCCGGCTGGCCGTCATACCGTGTGGGGGCGGCCGTGACCAGCAGGGCCCCTGGGAGTCACCAGAGGGAGAGGGAGAAAGAGTTGGGACCAGTGTGAATGGGAGGGCCTTGAACTTCAGGGTCCAGAGTTGTGCCTTGGTTTTTATTTAACTCCGACCTCTAATGAGTTCCAAGAGCAGACCCTCCTCTCCCTCCCCCTGCCACTGCCCCGTCTCCATTTCTGACCCTCTCCATTTCTCCCTGGGAGCTTTTAGTCACCCCCAACTGGTCCCCCGCCCTCTAATCTCTCCTGTCCCAGCTCACGCCACAAGGACCCCAGCCCAGGAGGTTTCTCAAGTGCAAATCTGATTGTGCCTCACCCCCTCCTTTGAAAGCACCTGCAGGCCCCCGCCACCCCAGCTCCCATCTGTGCCCACAGCCCACCTGGCCGGCCACCTGCCGCACCTCGGCCTCCATCTCTGCCCGCTCCGGGCACCCTCGCTTCCTGAGGCCCTGCTGTTGAATGATTTGCTGCCTCTGGCCAGACTGCTGCTCCCCTCCCCTGGCCATCTCCATTCATCCTCCAAGGTCCAGCGCAGATATGGGTTGGGACAAGCTTTTCCTGACCTTCCTGAGGCCACCAATGTGCCTAGAATGTGTTTCTGTTTTGAATCTCATATCACATTGCAATTGCTTTCAGATTACTGGCTGTGTGTGAGAGTGTGTGAATGTGTGTGTGTGTGAATGTGTGTGTGGTGTTGTGTGTATATGTGTGTGAGTGTGTGTATATGTGTGTATATATGTGCTGTGTGTGTGGTGTGTTTTGTGTGTATATGTGAGAGTGTGAGTGTGTGTATTGTGTGTGTATTGTGTATGTGTGTATTGTGTGTGCGTATATGTGAGAGTATGTGTGTGTGTCGAGTGTGTGTATATGTGAGAGTGTGTGTGTGTATGTGTGAATGTGTGTGAGTGTGTGTATTGTGTGTGTGAGAGAGTGTATTTGAGTGTGTGTATTGTGGGTGTGTGTATATGTAAGAGTATGTGTGTTGTGTGTGTGTGGTGTGTGTATATGTGTGTGCATATATGAGACTATTTGTATGTGAGAGTGTGTGTATTGTGTGTGTGTGAGTGTGTGTATGTATTGTGGGTGTGTGTATGTAAGAGTATGTGTGTTGTGTATGTGTGTATTGTGTGTGTATATGTGAGAACATGTATGTGTGCATATGTGAGACTATGTGTATGTGAGTGTGTGTGTATTGTGTGTGTATTGTGTGTGTATTGTGTGAGTGTATTTGTTGTGTGTGTATTGTGTGTGAGTGTGTGTATTGTGTGTGTGAGTGTATATTATGTGAGTGTGTATTATGTGTGTGTAGTGTGTGTATATATGTGTGTATTGTGTGTGTGTGAGTGTATGTATTATGTGTGTATGTTGTATGTGTGTGTTGTGTGTATTGTGTGTGTGAGTGTGTGTATATGTGAGCATGTGAGTGTGTATATGTGAGAGCTTATGTTTGTATGCGTGAATGTGTGTGAGTGTGTGTATGTGTGAGTGTGTGTATTGTGTGTGAGTGTGTGTGGGTGTGTGTATATGTAAGTGTGTGTGTTGTGTGTATGTGTGTTGTGTGTATATGAGTGTGTGTGTATATGTGTATGCATATGTAAATTTGTGTATGTGAGAGTGTGTGTGTGTGAGTGTGTGTGTTGTGTGTGTATGTTGTGTGAGTGTATGTGTGCGTGTGTTGTGTGTGTATGTTGTGTGAGTGTATGTGTGTGTTGTGTGAGTGTATGTGTGAGTGTGTGTGTGAGTGTGTATTGTGTGACGCACACTGACCTAAGCCCCACATACGTGTGGTTTCATGTTGCATGTGTGGGGCTCAGGTCGGCTCTCACAGTAACCACAGAGGTACATTTCGTCACTGTCCCATGTACAAATGATCCCGACGCTCTGAGGAGTGGCATGAGCTGCCCGAGGCCTGCATCTGGGATTCGAGCCCAGATCTGCTGGACCCTGGTTGCAGGCCCCCAGGAAACCTGGGCATGTGGGGGACCCGTCTCAGGGGTGGACGCAGCAGGGTTGCCATGGTGCCCACAGGATGGGAAATGGAGGGAGCCAGGAGCACGAGGGGCTGCTCCCTTAGGGTTCAAAGGATACGCTGCGTGCTTACCAGCCAGGCCACTTCCATTGCAAATGGCACCCTCTGGCTGCCTGGGGACAGGCCTGTGGGACTCCAGGCTGAGCTGGTGGCATGGTGACAAATGCCATGACAACCTGCCTCCTCTCTGGGGCCTTGGAGGGAGGGAGGACCTGAGAAGGCACAAGGCACATACTGAGGCGTCAGAGCAGAACTTGGAGAGGTGGCTCCCTTTGAGCCTGGGTGGCTTCTGCCCGCCCACAAGGGACACTGCCTGTCAGGTCCTGTCCCAGTAGGGGAAGTGCCACTTCCACCTCCATCCCGAATGAATGGCTGGCTCTGCCTCCCAGGAGACTGTCCCGGCATCCAGGTTCCAATGCCGGCCCTGTGGAGGGAGGAAGGAAGGGGGGGCGCAGGAAGAGGGAGGCAAGGGATTGCCAGGCAAGGTATCAGCAGGGACAAGTGGGGACAAGGCCTTCATTGTACCAAGGCCACACGCAGCTCCGAGCCAACGTGGCATCTTGCCTGCCTCTCAGGACGTGGCCCTGGAACTCTACCTGGACTTTCCTGGCTCTTTAGCAACTCGCGCCTGAGCTGGCGGGCAGGAGAGAGCCCCGTGCTGGGCTGGGAGTCCCGCGGGTGCTGGGCTCAGCCTCCTGCTCGCCTCCTCCCAAAAGCCAGGGGGAGGGGCGGTGACTGAGAATGGCCTGCAGAACCAGCCTGGCGTGAACTGGAGGCCAGAGCCCAGCAGACTACAGTGAAGCAGGCTGGGGATACAGCTCAGCTCGTAGAGCCCTTGCCTCGCGTGCCCAAGGCCCTGCGTTCGATCCCCAGCACCACACACACACACACACACACACACAGCCTGCCTCGAGGGACACTGTGGGAAGTAAGGGGGCAGGATGCAAGGAAGTCCTCAGCAGGGCCACCTGGCCACAGAGGGATTCAGTGGATGACAGGTGATCTTTGGGCTGTTGTCCATCCAGGAGGAAAGACCACTAGCCCTTGCTGGTGCCACCCCCAGCTGCTCCTGGTGCTTGGGAGACAGTGAGCCGTCCACACCAGCACTGGGGGCACTGCTGGCCTGCCCCACACCTGCCCAGAGCTCCTGCTGGGGCTGCCCTGTGGCTCCTGGAGGCCCTGCCTGGGGGGCGGGACACTGCCCGGTGAGCAGCTCAGGTGACAGGTGTGGTGTCTGCGGCTCCTGCAGCCCGGCACCTGACACCTCCAAGCAGACAATGCTGGCTGTGTCCAGGCTCCAGGGGAATAGGCCATCTTTGTCCACCAAGGAGGCAGCCCCTCCACTGGCTGGGAGGCCCGGACTCCTGGGAGGCCCTGCTGTGGGAAGGGGTGGTCCCTGCCCCAGGGACCCTGAGGTTTGAGACCCAGTCCTTAGTGCCTGATGTTGGGCTGGTACCCAGGGGGTGACCCAGACACTCCCTTCCCTCCTGGGGGCTGGTTCCTCGTTGGTGACAGGGGACTAATCACAGCACTTCCCCATAGGGTTGTTGGGAGGAGTCGATGGCGTAATGTACGTAATGTGTGGCACGGGGTCTGGCGTGGAGCGGGCTGGACGCTGCTCTCCCTGCACGAGGAGGTCCACAGCACGAGGACCCCAGCCAAGTCTCCTGGAACCCAGGCCACTGTCCTCAGTCCCTGCTTGGAAAGTCGAGGGCTGCCTCTGGAGCTGGCTTGGAATTAGCATTTGGCTGCAGAGAGCCCGGTCCCTCTGCGTGGCACTCTAGGGGTCCAGCTGATGCCCACACGGCCCTCCTCCCCACCTGGCCACAGCCTCGCTGGCATGGAGCTTCCCCTTCCCTAAAGCCCCACCGGCTGCCCTTGGAGCCTGTGCCCCTGCCCAGGAAGGAAGCCTCAGACACCTAGCAGGAGCCAGTGGGCCAGAGTCCCTCCAGCCAAGGATGCTTCCTGTAGGGCCCACCCACCAGCACAGCTGGGAGCAAGCAGAGGGGGGTTCTGCTCCGTCCCCACCCCCTCTTCATCTGCGCTCAGCCTATGCCCTAAGCTCCCGGGCTCTGCCAGGCTCAGCATGTGTGGTTGCATGGGGGACTGCGGGGGTGCCTGCATGCGGCGAGGGGCTGGGGGCCACAGCGTGTCCCATGTCGCAGGCAGGCGCTGGGCATGTTCATGGAGATGTGTGTGGTGCACCTTGGAATGACCGGACACGGGGCCTGCTTGTGTCTGTGTGCGTCCGTGTGTCTTTCTACACGTGTGTTGGTACGTTGGTCTGTCTTGTCTCCCCTGTAGACGGGAAGCCCCGAGCATCGTGCCAACTGGGAAGTTGATGGTCGTCGAGACCAGGCCAGCCTCACCTGGGGCTCCTGGTCCTGCCCGGGGGTCCTCCAGACTGCAGCCTCTGCCGAGGAGGGGGACGAAGATCGGGGGAGGCGGGGTCTGAGGGTCAGGGACCCAGCCCTGCTGCCCCGGTGACCCTGGGCACGACCTTTCACTCGTCTGGAGACACCGGGTTGGACTGACGGTTTACAGCCACCCCTGGGGCTGTGACGATCCGTAGCAGGAACCTGTGCACCAGCCCCTTGAACTCACTGGGAGAGGCACTTGTGGCCAGAGCTTCGCCCAGTCCTCGGGTGTCCTGCCAAAGGGTGGTGACAGGAGAAGCCATGCCGGGCAGCGGCCCCAGTGAGAGGATGACATGGCCTGGCCCGGCCCTACCTGCGGCCCCCCCAACCCGCCCTCTCTCCTCAGCCCCGGGGACACCGCCTATCCCGCCCCTCACCCGGACCCGCAGCCTCATGGCCATGTCCCTGCCAGGGAGTAGACGGGCCTCTGCCGGATCCCGCAGGTGAGTCTTCCCCTGGCCCAGAACCTTGGCCTCCGGGGGCGGGAGGAGGGCAGGCCTCTGTCCCCACCTGCCATTGACCTGCAGTGTTCTTGGAGCAAATCACATCCGGGATTTCCTGTCTTTAAAATGGGCTTGCTAATGCTCAGCCCTCCAGGAAGGGCTCAAGGGCTCCAGTGACCCGGGATGAAGGTTACCTGGAGGCTCCAGCCTCGGGGCTCCTACCAGGACCCCCCTTCAGCGTTGCTCCTGGAGGGGGCCACAATCCCCTCCCCCGGCTCCGCTGGCCTCCATTGGTCTTCACCCAGGCCCTCCTCCAGTCCCTCTTAGATCTCCTACCCTGGGCTTGGGGGACCCTAGGAATTGAGGACTCACAGAGGGGCCCCACCCTTGGTCCACAGCCCCGCCCACCCGCTCCTTGTCCGGGGACCCCAAGGACCAGCCTCCTGGCTTCCATCTTGATTTGCGCTGTCTGTTTTGTCACCCCTGTCTGTGCTCCCCCTTGTCCCCCCGCTTCTCTCCCTGATGACCCCAAAGTGGGAGTACTTTGGGCCGCAGCGGCCTGGCTGTGTTCGCCCAGTGTCCGCAGCTGCCCACCAGCCAGAATGAGCACCTGCCTCTTCTCCCCGCCCCCAGGCGCACCTCGCCCCCGGTGAGCGTGCGGGACGCCTACGGCACCTCCTCCCTCAGCAGCAGCAGCAACTCGGGCTCCTGCAAGGGCAGCGGCGACAGCAGCCCCACGCCCAGGTAATCGGCCCTCCTGGAGCCCGCAGCAGGGCTTCTGACCATCCCTGACTCCAGGATGTGACAGCCGCGCGACCTTGAGCAGGTCACTGCCCCCCTCTGAACCTCAGTCCTGTCTTTAAAACGGACATGATAATACTCACCTGCACAAAAGCAAATCCAGTGTCCTAAGTAACCTCGGGTGATGCTTTCAGAACGCGGAACATGAGGTAGGCGGCTTTCGAAAGCATAAGTGCTCTTCCCCCTTCCTGTCCCACCATTTTTTGGGAACAGCATTTGTCCTCAGCACCACAGGATGGCTCTTGTACCACCAGCCATCAGGTCAGCCATCCAGGAAGAAAAAAGATGGAAAAGACCCAAGACCCCCTCTGCTGTCTTCCCCCCCACCCTAAGAAGACACTTTCCCTGGGAAACCCTGCTGACACCTCATTGGATAAAAGAGGGCCATGTGACTATCTCTGGCTGCAGGCCAGTGAGTGCAGAGAGTTGGACTTTTCCCCAGCACAGTGCCACCCCAGACAAAACCCAGGTTCTGTTGGGAAGGAGGCAAGACCCCTATGGGCACGCCACCAGCATGCTGCCAGCTTGCTCTTCTCGGGGAACACTTTGAGAGTGGCAGAGGTGGCCAAGTTTTGGAAAGTGAGATGTGTTATAAAGGTGCTGAGTTGTGGTGTTGGACACCGGGCGTGAGACTGGAAGAGCAGGGTCAGGTGTTCAGGCAGGGAGGGGGGGTCAGGTGGACAGGCAGGGAGAGGGGGACTGCAGGTCCTCAACACCAGGAAGCAAGAGCAGGAAGGGCCCCTCATTCTGCTGAACTCACCGTGGGTGGTAGGGGAGCGCGGGACCTGCAGGGAGTTGGGATTTGGCCTCTTCCTGTCTCTGAGTCCCCATTTCCTTGTCTGTGAAGTGGAGCTAACAGGCCATACGCCTGCCCCTCATCCCACATGCCAATTATTGCTCTTATTAGGACTTTGATCTGAGTCAAAGGTTCTGGGCAAGAAAAGCCCAGGAGATGTCCTGCCTGCAGCTCCCAAGGCCAGAGCCTCTCTGGGGAAGACCCATGTGGCCCTTCCAGCAGAGAGGCTGTCATTTGTGTGCAGTGAGGTCCAGAGCTGTGGAAGCAGGAGATCTCAGGATTTTCCACCAAGACACATGGGACAGATGACCTGTGCAGGATCCCCCAGTTTCCTGCTTGCATCAGACCTCAGAACCCTGAGGACATAAGGGGATGTGTTAGCTTACGTCTGCAAAAGTCTATAATTGGCAATTTCAATATTTTCTCGTTAGTAACAGATTTTTCTAGCACATCTCATAACCGTAGCCCTCAGGGTCATCTCAGCCCCAGCTGGAGCTGTGGTTCTGCAGAATCGTCCTCCTGCTCATCACGAGGATAGCTGCCCCTGGGTCAGCCAGGGTGCCTGTTAGAGCCAAGCTTGCAAAGGCCTGAATGGCTGAGAGACACGCATCATAGCATGTTTTCCTTTCCTTTTATTTTATTTTATTTTTTGCTGGGGAGGGGTACTAGGGATTGAAGCCAGCGGCGCTCAACCACTGAGTCACATCCCCAGCCCTTTTTAAATTTTTATTTTGAAACAGGGTCTCTGGTCTCACTAAATTGCTTAGGGCCTTGCTAAATTGCTGAGGCTGGCCTCAAACTTGCAATCCTCCTGCCTCAGCCTCTCAAGTCACTAGGATTACAGGCACATGCCACCACACCAGGCTCTGTTTATATATTCATATATGTATTTTACAAAGATAGAGAGTTAAATGTAAAAAGACTCATGAAAGAAAATGGAAAAATATTAACACAGTCTCTTCCCTCTAACCTTCTACTTTTACTAGTTTTATCTTGATTCCACTAGTACCACCACCACCCACCACACCCCAGGCATGGAGGACAAACTGCGTCCCTCTGGCCAAGTCCCTTACATGGGGAGGACAGGTAGAGGGCCACATGGGCCTTAGGACAGTCCATGTGGCTTGCTTCTCATTTGGAAAGAGATTTTTTTTTTAGATCAAAGGGAGAAAACACAAGCCCCCAGCCCATGTCACCCCCTGACCCCCTGCCCCTTGCCAAGCTATAAAGAGGCCTACATGGGATTGGGCTTGAGTCGAACTCAGGGACCAGGAGGTGACTACATAGATGGCATTTCTCCTCCTTCCCACACTAGTGCCACATTCTCTTCCATGGTTTACAATCTACAAACACTGGAGAGATTCCACAGGACTTTAAAAATGGCCTCCAACTTTAGGACCCACCAGGGCCTGTAAAGCGTCTGCCCCTCTCTGTGTCTGGAAGTCCCCATCCTGGACGGAGCAGGGTGGGACGGCAGCAGGGCCTGAGTCTCTGGTGACGTGGGGACATGCCTGGGATTTTAAGGCAAGATGCAAGGAGGTTTCTTTAAGAACAGAAGATCCAGCAGCCAGGAAGCCGTGGGTGGAGCCGTCTGGGCCTCAATCTGTTGTGGAGTGGGGGGCAGTGGGGGGGCCCTTCCTCGGGGAAAGCCTTGGTCAGCCCTGGTCCCTGGCACGGCTGCCCTCTGGTTGGAGATTCCTCCTCCTCTGCGTGGTGGGCTGTGTGTGCCGCACCCAAGACACGTCACTGCCGTCTGTGCAGCCTGCTGCCATCAGGGCCCTGCAGTGACAGCCCATCCTCAGAGCCACAGGTGTCCATGCATGTGTCCCCAGAGGGTGGCAGTGTGGCCACCCAAGGACCATGGCCTGGCACAGGTGGTCACTGGTGAGGGCACCAGCAAGGTGATGGGGGTGTGGGGGCATGTAGGGGGCTAGGACTGGGAGTCCTGTACCCAGATCCGCACTCCCAATAAGTGTGGCTTCCGTGACATCCACAGGTACATGAGGGTGGGTGAGGGCAGAGTGCCCTCCAGCGTCTCCCTCCCTGTGCCCAGGCTGTGTGGGCTCCAGGCTCCAGAGAGGAGCGCTGCCGACCCCGCCCTTGACCTCCGTGCCACCTGGAGCCCGCCCTTCCTCCCAGCCTCTGCACCCAGGGTCCTTGTCTGAGTCGGGGGCTGGGAGCCTGGCCTCTGGCTCACCCTGGGCTCTGGCTCACCTCTGAAGCCAGTGCCCCTCTCAAAGGTGAAGGCACCCTGTACCCAGGGCTGCCATGAGGACCAGGCAGATGGCAGCCGGAGGGCGCTTGACAAGGTGCCAGGTGCCGGGTGCCCCTCCTGGAGACCCCTGTCCTGGGTTTACTCAACAGTCCCTCAAATCCAGAAGGCTCCCCTGCTCCTGGGGCCTGCACAGGAGGTGTGGTTCGGAGGCCCCTGGGGGTCACTGACTGAGGATGGTTAGGCAGGTGTCCCCTGCCTGTCCCCCACAGCACCAGTGGCCCCTCCTCCCCACCCCATGACGGCGTCCCTTGCAGGCGCTCCATGAAGTACACACTGTGCAGCGACAACCATGGCATCAAGCCCCCCACCCCCGAGCAGTACCTGACGCCGCTGCAGCAGAAGGAGGTCTGCATCCGCCACCTGAAGGCCCGGCTGAAGGACACCCAGGACCGGCTCCAGGACCGGTGAGCGGGCGGGGCGGCTGGGCAGCGGGGTGCAGCCCAGGGGGCCTCTGAGAAGGAGGAGCGGCCAGGGCTTCATGGCGCCCACCGCACCCTCCTTCCCCCCAAGCCTCGTCTGGGCCCCTTAGTAGGACCCGCCCCCCAGCTCCTCTGGATGGCCCCAGGAAGCTGCTCTGATCCAGGTGGGGGCTGCCCCGGTGAGGAGCTGGCCTGTCGGCCTTGCTCCTGTGACAGTCTGTCCCCAACCATGGGCCCTGTTGGCCACTTCTCTTCCCTGTCTGCTGGGGAGCTGGAAGGCAGGGTTTCTCCTGGCTTAACCCTCCTCTGGCAGCTCAGGGTGAGTCTGAGGCTGGCTTTGAACTTGGGATCCTCCTGCCTCAGCCTCCCAAGTCTCTGGGATTTCAGGAGTGTGCCACCGCACATGGCTTCTTTTCTTATATAGCACCTTATCCTATGTGACTGTCACCATGCAACTCACCTATCCAAAGTACACCGCTGGGTGCCTTCTAGTGTGGCCACAGGATTGTGCAACTGTCACTGTCATCTAACTCCATCAGCATTTTTATCACCCCACAGGGAAATCCTATTCCCAGTAGCAATCACCGCTTTTCTCCAGCTACCCGTCCCTGGCAACCACTGGTCTCTGTGAAGTCTGTCTATTTGCATGCGTGGACACACCTTTCTTTCTTTTAACATGTTTAGTTGTCGACGGACACTGTACCTTTACTTATTTATTTGTGTGGTGCTGAGGATTGAGGCCAGTGCCTCGCACAGGCTGAGCCCCAGCCCCAGCCTGACACATTTTTCTTGCTCTGCCAAGCAGCCAATCCGGTCGGGGTGCGTTGTGGTTTCCAAGCGCAGGTTTGGGGTGTGCTGGGGGCCTTGCTGTCCTCGAGCTGGGCTTTCTATTTTTGTTTCTCATCCTCTTCCTAATGATCTCCAGGCTCTGCCTGACCTTTTCTCACTAATATTCCCAGGGAGCAGATGGCCCATCTCTCAGCTGCTTTTCTAGGCCAGCTCTGCGGCTCGAGAGCAGACCACCTGCCCTGCATGGCCTGGGCATGCGCACACCGCAGCCCTGTCACTCGGCCCTGTGGCTTCTGTGGCAGGTCCTTCCTTGCTGGGCTGCCACACTCCTGGCCCTCTGTGGGGCCACCTCAACTCCTCAAAGATGCCCCGTGCTTGGTCACTCTGTGCTCTGTACGCCGCGTCCCCACCACTCCAGGTGTCTTTCCCATGTGGCTTCCCCATGTGGCTTCTTTGGCGACCTCCTCCTTCAGGACCCAGTTCAGACATAATGCCCTGTTGTCCACGGAGGGCTGGGGAGCCACTGCCCCCTGGGGTCCAGGAGGCTCCAAGGGACCAGCCAAACTGAGCATGCCCAGTGCCTTCTTCCCAGCCCATCTTCTTGGGGGGGGGGATGAGTGAGCAGTCGGGGGAGAGGCCAGGAGTGAGCCACGCCCGAGGCAGGAGGAATGAAGGCCACGTATCCCACGTATCCCACGTATCCCTCGTGCTGTGAAGTGACATCTGTCACTTCCACTTGATTATTTATTTTTGGTTCCGAGGATTAAACCCAGGCTAAGCCACATCCCCAGCCTTCATTTTTTTTTTTTTTTTTTTTTAATTTTGAGACAGGGTCTCGGTAAGTTGCTGAGATTGTTGGAGGCTGGCCTTAAACTTTGGATCCTCCTGTCTCTGTCTCCCTTGTTGCTGGGATCACGGGCCTGTGCCACCACACCCGGCTTGTCATTGCTGCTCTAAGTGACTCAGGTTCGCTGCTGCCGGGTCGTGTCCTGTTGGATGGTCGGCTGCCTTCCAAAGGAGGCCGCACTGCTGGCCACGTGGCCACTGCAGTCCGCGAGGCCTGGTCCCTTTGGTATGTTGTGGAATGAGATCCTGGGCCTAGTCCTGAAATGGAATTTCCATTCTGACTTTGAAAAGCACGTGGTTCCTGATCTGGGACCTGGAACTCTGCTGAGCCCAGGAACCCCACACTGACTGCCGCGGCATCGGTGGATTTAGGGCTCCAGCTGAGTGGGTGCTCGTGGCCTGGAGGGCGAGGCTGCCCAGGGCAGGGGCCAGTCCGTGGAAGGCTGTCCTTCCTTCTCACTGCCTCTAGCCAGCCTCTGCTCAGGCTGACCCCAGTGTCACCTCCAGCCACACGGCCTTTCTCTAATGTCCCTGTCTGCACCCTCCAGGTTCATCTCTAACTCAGGCCTTTGAAAGGCCTGTGCTCTTCTGCACCAGCACCCTCCAGTGGTCCTGCTGGCCTGCGCCTGCCCCTGCTCTCAGGAGCAGCCCTGTCTTTCCCCAGCCGTCTTTTCAGCTCTCCTCCTTAGAGTAGGTACAAAGAAGAAACTTCTAGCATGGCTGAAAGCGAGAGTCACTCCTGCCACTTCTCACCCTCCGCTTGGGGGATGGCAGAAATGTAGCTCCCCCTGCCGACATCGAAGGTGGTCACTTCTCTCAGGCCACTGTCCTCTCCCTGGGGGTCTCTGGCCAAACGTCCCTTTACTTAAAATGTTCACCACCTGCTTTAGTAGGAGGCTGCATCCCTTTCTATAGAGGAGGCAGAGCTTTTCTATCTAGTTTCTATTGTTTTACATTAAAGTTTTATTAGGTTTTCTAGCCGAGCATGGTGGCATCCGCCTATAATCCCAGCAGCTCAGGAGGCTGAGGCAGGAGGATCCCGAGTTCAAAGCCAGCCTCAGTAAAAGTGAGCACTAAGCAACTCCGTGAGACCCTGTCTCTAAACAAAATACAAAATAGGGCTGGGGATGTGGCTCAGTGGTCAAGTGCCCCTGAGTTCAATCCCTGGTATCTCCCCCCCAAAAAATCTCTGCAGCTCAGTCCTGGGGGATGGGATATGGACATTTCTTCTCTCTCCCAGGAGAGGGCCCCTCCTGCCTTCAGCCCTGGCCTCCTGCTCCCCCTGTCCTCCTCCTCCTGGTGGGGTAGAAGGGAACCAGGCAGGGGGTCCTTCCTTTTATTCCTAGCTCTCAGCCTCTGCAGCACAGAGCCCTCTGTCCTGGGTGACCCTGCCCCGTCCTTGCCTCTCCCTGGTGGTGGTGACAGGCCAGGCAGGCAGGCAGCGAGCAAGTTCATCTCATCTGCTCACAGGGACACAGAGATCGATGACCTGAAGACGCAGCTGTCGCGCATGCAGGAGGACTGGATCGAGGAGGAGTGCCATCGCGTGGAGGCCCAGCTGGCCCTGAAGGAGGCCCGCAAGGAGATCAAACAGCTCAAGCAGGTCATCGACACGGTCAAGAACAACCTGATCGACAAGGACAAGGGGCTGCAGAAGTACTTTGTGGACATCAACATCCAGAACAAGAAGCTGGAGACGCTGCTGCACAGCATGGAGGTGGCCCAGAACGGCATGGCCAAGGAGGATGGCACCGGGGAGTCTGCCGGCGGGTCCCCCGCCCGCTCCCTCACCCGCAGCTCCACCTACACCAAGCTCAGCGACCCTGCTGTCTGCCAGCCTGGTGACCCCCCCAGCGCCTCCGCCGAGGATGGACCTGACAGTGGCTTTGTGGCCGCTGATGACACGCTGAGCCGGACTGATGCCCTGGAGGCCAGCAGCCTGCTCTCATCCGGGGTGGACTGTGGCCCCGAGGAGGCCTCGCTGCACAGCTTCAACCTGGGGCCCCGCTTCCCCGCCAGCAACACCTACGAGAAGCTTCTGTGCGGCATGGAGGCCGGCGTGCAGGTCAGCTGCCTGCAGGAGCGCGCCATCCAGACAGACTTCGAGCAGTACCAGCCCGACCTGGACGCCATCCTGGAGAAAGTGACCCAGGCCCAGGTCTGTGGGACAGTTCCCGAGGACAGGCACCGGGAGCCAGATCCCCACCCCCCAGGGCCCAGAGACCCCGATTCAGCAGTGGTGGTGACCGTGGGCGACGAGCTCGAGGTCCCGGAGCCCATTACCCACGGGCCCACCGTGCACGGACCTGGAGCCAACCCCAGCCCCGGCCCGTCAGTGAGCGTGGTGTGCCCCGTGGAGGAGGAGGAGGAGGCCGCCCCGGCTGAGAAGGAGCCCAAGAGCTACTGGAGCCGCCACTACATCGTGGATCTGCTGGCCGTGGTGGTGCCGGCCGTGCCCACGGTGGCCTGGCTCTGCCGCTCCCAGCGGCGCCAGGGCCAGCCCATCTACAACATCAGCTCCCTGCTGCGGGGCTGCTGCACGGTGGCCTTGCACTCCATCCGCAGAATCAGCTGCCGCTCGCTGAGCCAGCCGGGGCCCAGCTCGGCCAGCGGGGGCTCCCAGCTCTGAGGAGGCCTGTCCCCGCAGCACCCGGCCGCCTGACCACTGATTGTAGGGAAGCCCTCCTCCCCTCGCCTGTCCCCATGGGTATCATCTTATTTATTTAGTTTTGGGTTTGGAACCATTTTCCCCCCCAACATTACCAGGGTCCAGGAGAAGGGCTTGGGGGAGACACCCCAAGACTTCCCGAGAGAGAAAGGTAAGAAAGGCCAAAGACCAGGAGTGAGGGGCGCACTGAGTGGGCACACTGCAGAGAGAGAAGCTGGTGAGGGCCCCCTGTGTCCACCTGGCCCTTGAGACAGGGTGGGCCCTGCTTAGGAAGTCTCTGGATCTCTCTGGGGAGGCTTCCCCCCTGCACCATCCTGTCCAGTGGCCTGTCCACTCCATGTCCTCTCTCCCAAGTCACCCCTTGCCCTGAGCCCAGGTTTCTGGGCCAATATTATCCCTTCAGATGGAGGCAGCCGTGGCCCAAAGTGCAGACAGCTGACCCACGGACTCGGGGCAGGGTCTGGATCCCAGGCCTGGACTGGAGCTCCAGCGCCCCCAGCCTGTCCGCCCCTTGGGATTCAGAAGCATGGGGCTGCCGGGGGCAGAAGGCAGGGTGGGCTCTGTGTCTGTCTGTCCTCCCAGGCCCTCCCCACCATCCACTTTCCTCTTGGTGTTTCTGGGTGTGTCCGATCGTTCTTCTGTGAGAGAGCTAAGCCCCACGGGCTCCGGTGCTGCTGGGCGGGGACCCTCACCCGAGACAAGGTCCCATCGCGAGTATCCACCAGCAGGAAAGGCGTCAGGGGCAGGGCGGTCCAGGGAGCCCTCCACCTTCTGAGATGAGGCCATCTCATCTGCTGTCTGCGAGGCCTGGCTGGACTCAGGAATCCTCGGCCAGTTTGAAAAGCCGGAGGCCCCCACGGCCCCTGGAGCTTGCCCAGTTTCTCTGGGGGCCTCGGGCCCAACTTCTCCCTTGCACTACGTTCACTTTGGGGACTGGTTCTCCCTCATCCCAGGACCTCCAGAGAGGTGGCTGCTTCCTTTCCGGGATGAGTGTCCTTGTGTCTTCAACCTATCTGCCTCGGAGGAGGGTGCAGATTCTGGCAGATCTCAAAACGGGGTCCAGAAGCCATGGGGTTCGTCCAGGCCACAGCAGGGACGTGTTTCCCGGGCAGGGGGCCTGGCAGAGGGGGTTGGAACTCTGCAGCCACCTTCCCCCTGCCCAAGCCCAAGCCCAGTCAGCCTGGGAAGCTCACTGTCCCCAACCCTTGCCTGGAATCCCGTGGGAGACCCCAGAAAGCCGGTGATGTTAATTGCCATGACTAGTTTACAAGGTCACATCCCTCCGGTCATCGGACCCACCTGCCAGACGTCAGGTCCCACATGGGGAGTTGGCGGGACTCTAGGTCTCACTCGGCCCTCTGGCCTAGGGGCCACTCCGGCTCCCTGCCAAGGTGGCTTGCCCTCACCCCACTGCCTGACTCACGGGCTCTGCCCTTCCGCTCTGTGCCCTCCCCTCGAGGGGGCACCTGCATGCCCTGGGAATGGGCAGCAGCCCAGCCATCGGGGCAGGAGCCCCCCCACGCGCTTTGTGCCTCCAAAGACCCCCACCTCGTTTGGGGCCTCAGGCCAGCCCTCCTCGCGCAGCYCCCCCCCCCCCCAGCTGAATCAAGCCCGAATGCCCGGGGTCTGCTGGGGCCGCCCCACAGGACACTGGGCTCGTGCCATGGAGGAGGCAGGGAACAAAAGCAATCCAAAGCCAAGCCAGGACTGGCCACGGACCCAGCCTCCCGAGCCGTGTCCTCACGGAGCTGCGTAGCGTCTCCCTAGACACAGTCAAAGCTTTGCAGACAAAATAAATGTACGAACTCATCTGACGCCATAGAATCTACGTGTTTTCCGCTGGAACTTAGTCGAGCTCTGCGCCCCTCTGCCCCTGTCCGCGTCTCGCTGTCTGTGGCCTTCCTAGTGTGTCTGTGTGTCGGTGGTCGTGGGCAGGGCACCTGGGGCTCTAGTCCACTCTGCCCTGCTGCTCGAGAAGCCGCTTGGAAAGCGCTGGGCAGTGGGTGGGCCTGAGGCCCGTGGAGGAGGGGACGGGGCTGGCGGACGCCTCGACTCCTGCTCTGGGCCAGACCTGCGTGGGTCGGGGGCCCAACCCATCGTGTTGGGTCCCCTCTGTGGGTCTGCTGGAGCCTTTCTCAGGCTTCTCTTCTTGCCAGTGGAGAATGCAGCTCACTGCCCAGCCCTGGGACAGACCTGGGCCCGCACGGCTGATGCCCCGGTCCAGCTTCTGGGCCTGTGTGAACTCAGTATCCTGCATCTATGCAAAGGGGCAGTGCTGCCTGAATAGTTCCCAGAGGTGGCCGAGCAGCAGCCTGCTGGCTCCAACTCCCGGCCCTGACGAGCGGGGCCCCGGACAAGGGCCTGGGAGGGCAAGGCTGGGGCCGGGGGCTGGGCCTCCCCAGAGCACTGATCCTCTAAAGCTCCCCTTTCCCTTCTGCTTGACCCTCCTCCTGTCGGGGTGTGGCCCTCCCACCTGCACTTGGCTTCTGGAGTAGAAGTCGTCGGGACCCCCCTCCCAGCCCCTGGCTGGAGCCAATAAGTCCTGAGGAACGAACGACATCCCCAGGAACCACGGTCTAGAACTGTTGGTCCCTGGGAGCCCAGAGGCTAGAAGCAGCTTCTCCTTAGTTCAGGACCAGGGCAGCCCTGATGCCCCTCTGGTCACAGCTCAGGCAGGAAATGGGAGCTGGGGCCCGGGCTTCTGCACGGAGAGCTGACCCTGAGCAGAGTTTAGGCCCAGTGTCTCCCAAGGGAGTAGCTTAGACATTCACAGAGCACCCTCCCGGGCACCACGAGCACAGGGGCGTCTGGCAGCACTTGGGGGAGGGGCGGGGCAGCTTACAAAGTTCTAGACAAACACCTGCCGCGAACTCACGACTCCCTCTCTGACCTGGGGACAATGCCATCGGGTCACAGTGCACTCTTATATTATTAGACCATTGATGGAGAGTTCAGGGGGCGTGGGAAGCGGGAGGTGGGGAGGGTCCTGACTCTCGTCCCCTTTGTCCTTTGTTCAGAGTCCTACCTGCGCCAGACAGCTCTGATTAAAGCATGAGCACACAGCAAGACTCTCCGCCTGGTTTCTTTGTACAGTGTCATTTTCTAAGGCGGGGGTTGGGGGAGGCCCGTGCTGTCCTCCCCCAGCACAGAGGGAAGCAGAGGCTGTCGGCGGGCCACTACTGCCCACTCCACATCAGGGACACCCTCTCGGCCCACCCCACTAGGTGTCAGACCCTGGACACTGAGTGCCTTGCATTTCTTCCTCCCCAACAGCCCTGACGTGGCTTCTCATGCCCACTTTGCAGATGCAGGAGCAGCCACGGTCACCCACAGCTCAAAGCCAAGGCCACGCTCCGTCCACCACACAGCCCCCTAGATCCAGCCATCCCTGCGCCAGACTAGCTGGCAGTACATGGCGGAGGCAGGGCCAAGTCACCCCTCTCAGAGGGGATGCGTAGAAAGGCCTGAGTGTCACCACTGTTTCAAAGAACACCAGCCCTGGCGTGTCACGGGACCCAGGATTCTGGAATTCCCAATGACCTTTGAGGAAGGGATTGTGTTTCCAATCAAATCTTTATTCCAGACAGTCAAGGGTCGTAACTGACCATCTGTGCTCAGTCTGCAGCAAAAAGCAAGGGAAGGCGAAGGCGAGATTCTCACGAAGAATGTGGTTCTGTATCTCAAACTGCGGGGCTGTTTCCCTGGCAGAGGCAAAGTCTTCCAAGGACTCAGCTACGACTCTAAGAGGCGTCTGGCTGGCCCGTCCACGTGCCCAGCATGTAAATAAGTGCAGAGAATGGGCTGCATCGGGTACTGCTGGGGCCGTGGCCCGGTTAGGAGGGAGACTCCCAGAGACCTCCGTGCCTGAGTGACAGACTCACGCCATCCAGTGCCACCCACCTGAAACGTGCTCCCCTCAAGACCCCACCCCAGGAGGCAGCCAGCTGCAACCTGTCATCCAAGAGGCCACTGCCCTTTCCTGCAGGAGGGTGGGATGGCTGAGCTGCCCTCCTGCGGCTTCAGACATCTGGGATGGAGTGGTCCATGGTGTGGTGGAGAAGCGTCGGGGACAACCTAGACAGTGGCAATGGTGACAGTGGTGGACACTGGAAGCTCCTTCTCCCTGCCCAGCCCCCCAAACCTGTGCACCCCAGGGGGGCATTCTCCCCTGTTCTAAAACTTTCAGATCCCCAGGAGCCACCAGCCACCTCGGAGAGAGGGGAAGAGAGAGGAGGAGGGGCAAGCCGGGCCTGCCCCCTGGGTCAGCCTTGGAAAAGCCAGGGTGGCTGAGCCAGGTGGCCCCGGGGGGCAGGGGGACGAGGAGGGCGCTCCTTACTTTTTGACCATGTGCTCGTAGATCACAGTGGGAATGAGGGTCAGGGTGATGACGTTTCCCGCTGAGGCCAGAATCTCCATGATGGCTTTGTCCTGGACAGGAGGTGAGTGAATGGTCTCCCTGAGGGCCGGGGCCAGACACTGCCACAGGCCACTGATGCCCAACTGCAGGGGCCAGGCCACCTGGGCCCCTGAACCTGCCTGGCAAGGGTTAGGCACAGTCTGGCTTGAGCAAGGACGTGGGCCTCCCATCTGAAGATCTCCAGTGTCAAAGGAGCATGCAGCCCCCTCCCCCGCCCGCAAAGGCCAGCTGTGTGGGCCTGGCACGCAACACGGCCTCACAGACGGAGCCTCCTTCCCCTTGCGAGGGCCCACGTTGCCACCCCATCTCCCTGGCCCCAGTCACACTGGGGTTTGGGTTCTAAAGCCCAGAAAGAAGAACCCTGCAGTGGGAGACCCCTGCTTGTGTGGCCAGACAGCCTGCGCAGGCCAGGGGGTGCTGTCCCCTACATCTGCGACCATGAGGAGGACAGACCTGAAGTCTCTGAGCAGCCTGTGCCCGCAGCCCAACACAACAGCCGGGGCCATCGGGGCCTCTGGCCCGGACTCAGGGCCTGGTGACCGTGACTTTGCACATCTGTCCCTGGCTGTGTTCTCTTAGTTGTTCCAGAATAAATGGGAGCGAATGTGCCAGGTGGGGACTAGTGACAACCACAGAGTGAAATAAACTTCAGAGAGACCAGTGAAGAAACGAGCCATTTAGAGCCTCTCGGTAGAAGGACAAACTCCTCCCTAAGGCCTTACAGAGCCGTGGCCTGGGACAGTGACTGATAAACTCACGACCATGCCTTGAGCCATCCATGCAGATGACAGAATCCCATCTTAGCAGGACTGACTTCCAGAAGAGTTAGGGTGGAAGAACTGTAATGCTCTCAAAGGAGGAGTTCACTAATATCAGGGCTCTCCAGCTACTCGGAATCCATATTACTATACTCAACTTTTTAAGCACTTTTTAGTTGTCATGTCTGAGAAAAGGGAGATGATGCAGTAGGTGGGATACTGGACAGATATTAGGAAGAACTTCCTGACCACAACAGTCACTAAGAACAAACTCCAAGGAAGGTGGGGGAGACTGTCAGGCATAAGGAAGCAAACAGGTGACAGGAATGGCTTGTGTCAGCTGCGGAGTGAGATGCCACTACTCACACCACTTCTGTGGGGGGAGCTCTGCCCCACAAGTACCAAAGCACTGGACATGGACAGGAGGGGGCGCTCCCTCTATATCACAACTGGGTTTGAGAGCCACTCTGAGTCCAAGTGGCATCAAGTCAGGATAAAGCCACTTTCACTTGTTCGGGACCATATGACTCATCATCCTTGGTCCATTCCCCCAAGACACCCCTATTCCAGATGCACAGCGCCCACCCCTCCTTGCACCTTCTGGATTTTCAAACTCACCACCACCCTTGAAAAAGGAACAAAGATCAGAAGTGATCAACATGCAACCAGGAGCGTCATGCAGAGGAAGAGGTGTCCATGCAGCGGGCATCTTGGGGTGCCGTGTCCTCACATGCATTGCCACGCCCCTCTGCCCTCAGCACCCGGGGTTAGTCACAGTAGCTAGTACTTACTGAGCACTGCCCTGTGCCTGGTGCCTGCAGAGCTCTAGGCACAGGGTCTTACTGAAACCTTAGGAGGAGGAAGCTGCATGGGGAGGGGAGGGGCTGCAGCCTGTCCAGATACCAGCCCTCCCACCCCAGGGTCTCCCCCAGCCCACGGAGAGCCGGCCACCGCCTACCTTCAGTCCGATGACGTTCTGCCCGTTCACCTCGCACACATAGTGGTTGGTGAGGAGCCCGTTGCGGGCGGCAGAGCTCCCTTTGACTACAGAGACCACCTTCCCCTTCTTGATGAAGAAGCCCACGTGGCCCAAGCTGTCCTTGTGCATGGTGACCGTCCGCTGGAATGGTCTGGCAGAGAGGGAGAGTGAGCTGGGCCTGGGGAGGAGGCTGGAACTAGGCAGAGGGGCTCTGGGGCTCTGGCTGCTCACCTGTCCCTAACAACCATGACGATCTTCTCGGGCGAGGCCTTCTTCAGCGCCCGGTGGGCCTTTTCCGTGCTCCACCCAGCGCAGTCCCGCCCATCCACCTGCAGGATCTGGTCCCCGAAGCGCAGCCCCACAAGGGAGGCGGGGGTGTTGGCCTGGACCAGCTGCACGAAGAGCCCCTGGGGAAGGCGGCCTAGAGTCAGCCCCTGCCGCCCTGAGCCGGGAGCCTACCTGGCACGGGGTCTCGACCCTGCGGGGCAGGTAACACGGTCACCCCATCTTCCTGAGGAGGAAGCAGGGCAGGCCACACAGCTGGGGGAAGCTGGGTCAGGATTTGAACCCCGGCCAGAGGCTGCACGGCGACCCCTCCAGTGCACGCCCCTCCAGAGGCATGGCCTTCTCAGCTTTCACGGTCTGCGGACAGTTGGGGGGGGGGGGRGGCATGGCTCCCCAGGGAGCCACGGACCAACGGGAGCCCAGAAGGGGTGGTGGAGGGTCCTTGCCGCAACCTAGCCCAGCCCCGGGTCCTTGGGTCAGGATGCCCCCTCCTCACTGCGGTGCCCTCTCGGGCTGGCGCGCTTTCCCACCAGGGGTCGTGTCCGGCCGCTGCGCCTACCTTGTCGATGGCCCGCAGCCGCAGCCCCGTCTTGCCGCGCTCGTCCTTGCACAGGTGGATCTCCCGCACCCCGGGCTTGATCTCCGCGCGCTTCACGCCTAGGTTGTTCCCGGACACCGGTGCCACCACCTGGCCAGGCAAGAGACTGGAGATCGCCTCCTGCAGCCATCAGGGGAACAGGGAGTCAGGCCAACCCCAGGAGCTGAGGGCCTCAGGGGTCTCTGGGCTGGCGGGTAGGAAAGGGCAAAGGAGGACCCAGCAGTCCCTGGGAGCCCAGATCCACCCCAGACCACACAGGGCTCCGCAGGGGCTGGGAGGCGCCGTGGCTCCAGGAAGCCACTAGAGGGCATCAAAGCCCATGTCCCTAAAAATGGACTGAGAAAGGGTGGTGGGGCCCCAGGGAAGGGAGGGGGGCGCGTTTTTCAAGGCAACT